AGATGTAGCCGGAGACCGGGGCTGAGGCAGGAGGATTGCTGTAAGTTTGAGACCAGCCTGGGCCACAAAGTGAGCTCAAGGCCAGCCTGAACTGCATAGTGAGATCTTGTCTCAAAAAGACCAATAAATAAATAAATAAATAAATAAATTAACTAACAGATGCAAGGCTTCTTGTGGCTTATGGTTTTGGCACTCCCGTCCGTGGTCACCTGGCCCTGCTCCTTTAGGGCAGCAGCAACACAGCACCTCAGGCTGGAGCGTGGGGTGGAGCTGGAGAGAGAAGGAGGCCGCCTCCCTACCTCCCTGCCAGAGCCCAGCCCTGAGCTCCACTGCCCTAGGGCACCACTGGCTGGCAACCAAGCCTCCAACACTTCAACTCAGCAGGGACAAAGATATCTGGAAAACTCCTAAATATCTGGAAATTAAATAATATACTTTCTGAATAACCCACAGTCAAAGACAAAATCAGAAGGGAAATTAAAAGCATCTGGAATGGAATGGAAATGAAAAACAACAACAAAAAGACAATCAAAATTCATGGGCCTGCCAGGCGTGGTGGCTCACGGCTGTAATCCCAGCACTCAGGAGGCTGAGGCAGGAGGATCGCTGGGAGTTCGAGACCAGCCTGGGCTACAAAGTGAGCTCAAGGCCAGCCTGAACTGCACAGAGAGACCCTGTCTCAAAAAGACAACAGCAACAACAACAATTCCTGGGCCTCTGCTGACGAGATGCTTGATGGGAAATGTGTGTCCTTCAGGACACAGAGGACAGGGTCAAGCAGCGATCTGCGCCTGCTTCCCACACAGACCTGGAAGAAGCGGGCAAACAGAGCCCAAAGTCAGCAGAAGAAGAGGGAGAGAAAGGTGAGAGGAGAAATTAATAAGGTAGAAGACAAATAAACAAAGACAGTTCTTGAAGAGGACCATGAGATGGACAGGTCTCTAAAGGACAAGTCAGAGAGAGAGAAAAGACATGCTTGACCCAGAGCGAGACTGAGGGGTTCACATCGCCACGAGGCCCGTACACTAAGAGAGCAGCGCGTGAGCGTTATGAACAACTGCAGGCCAGGACGTTTGACAATTTTTCTGAAAATGCACAATTTAATTTTCTTTTTTTTAAATGAGCAGGGTACAGTTCTAGCTACTTGAGAGGCTGAGGCAGGAGGATTGCTTGAGTCCAGGAGTTTGAGAGCAGCCTGAACAATAGCAAGATCACCCCTTAAAGGTAAAAAATACACAAAAGTTTTAAAAAGTAAATAATTAAAAGTGAATAAAAATATAAATTTAAATAAAAAGACATGCACAGGGGGCTGGGGATATAGCTCAGTGGCACAGTACCTTGCTTGGCTGAGTTCGATTCCCGGTACCAAAAAAAGAAGACATGCACAGATCAAAATAAAATATTGGTAAGTCGTATATCTGACAGAGGATTTGTATCTAGACTGGATGGAAATTGGGTAGTAACAATCGAAACCCACTCAACAGCAGATGGAAACTACTGAAGTAGGGGTGACCCTGGGCACAGGGCTCCAGGCCAGGGGCAGACTCTGCTTCCTCCCTCAGGTGCATGGGTGGAGGTGGCTTCAGAGCAGACACTTGGGCACTGCAGGAACCAGGATGCAAGGTGACCCAGTGGTGAGGAGAGCATCACACAAACCAGCACGGAGGAGGCGGGAGCCGTGATGACCCCACATCTGGGGGCGTCCTCAGGAGGACCCAAGGAAACCTGAATGGAGAGCAGACACTAATGAGCAACATGTCCATGTCAGGGACCCCCTGATGGTGACCTCACTGATGGGGAGGTGGATGTGTGGAGTTCCTGTCCTGCCTGTCCTTGTAATTATGCCATGAACTTAAAACTGTCCTTGGAGTCTTTCCTGAAAATATGCAAAGGATTGGAATAGCTGCTCCCCTAAGGAGGGCAGGATAAGTACGGAAAACACACTGGGGAAAGGGAGGCCGGGTCACACCCATCGCCACCTGCAGGGACAAGGCCAGCAGCCCTGCAGGAGTTTAAAGAGGTGCAGCCACTTCGGGAAGTTTAGCTGTTTCCTTTCCCTTTCTTCTTTCCTCTTTCCTCTCTCTTTCATCTTTCATCTTTCTTTCTCTTTCTCTTTTTCTTTTCCTTTCTTCCTCTCTGTCTCTGTCTCTCTCTGTCTCTCTCTCTGTCTCTCTCCTCTGTTGTTCTTTTCCTTTTGTTCTGAAAATTGAACTCAAGGACTTCACACAAAGCTACATTCCTAGCCCTTATGCTAATTTTTAATTTACAAGCCAGGATCTCACTAAGTTAGTTGCTAAGTTGCCCTGGCTGGCTCAAACTTTTGATTCTCCTGCCTCAGCCTTCCAGACAGCTGGGATTACTGGCATGTACCATGCCTGGCTTGCTTGGCTGCTTCCTACAAGTGAAATCTGGGATTCCTGTGTGACTCTGTATCCCCCGTGTGGCCCCCACCACGGGCAGTGACCATGCAGGGCACAGATGTCCACAGCCCAGAGCCACCCAGTGTGGAGGGCTCATGGGTGACAGGCAGGTGGTGCAGCTACGGAAAAGCCAGTTGGCCGTACCTGTGGTCCCGGGCTTCTCTTGTGGAGGCATAGGAGGAGGCATGGAAGGCATCCTGCTCACCCATGAGGCAGTGAGGCACAGCCTGGAATGAAGAATGGACTGGCACCATGGGGGTGTAGGTGGGCAGAACCACACAAGCTGCCAGGACCCCCTGGGGCGATGTGTTTGGGTCTCGGCCTTTCCTCGTCACCGTCCTGTGCCAAGCACACGCTGCGGTGTCCCTGCCGTAAGTCTTTGTGCGCGACCCCTGCCTACGCCTGCCTCACCCTGGCTGCGGGTGCTTCCCTGGTGTCCAGGCTGATGCGGGGAGAGGGTGTGGCTACTCCAGGGCCTTTTCCAGAGAACAGGGAGGTTCAGCCAGCCTGGCTGTCACCCCTGCCTGCCTGGCTGCAGGGACAGGTGGGTGCTTGGGGTGGCACCGCCTGTGCCCATCTCTGCTCCACCGCTTGGCTGATGTTCACACCAGGCTTGGCCACCACTCTCTCTCCTTCTGTCCCTCCATCCCTGTCCCTGTCCCTCTCTCCTCTGCCTTGGTTTCTCTCTGCACCTCTCCCCAGTTGACTTGGCATCACTCTTATGCTAATTTCATAAAAATAACCCAGAGGATTTCCTTTTTCCTCCATTCCAAGAACATTCTAAATATCGTGGGAATTATCTGTTGCTTGATGTTTGCGCGATCCCATCTGTGAGTTCTTAGACATCGTTCTGCTTTTTACATTCTTTTGAAAACCCATTTTGCTTAAGGCCTCAGGGGACAGTGTATCCGCCGCACCCTGTCCTTGCTGCCCCGCCCCTGGGCCGTTTCCGTGGCCCATGGCTCTCCTGCCTGCTCCCACCTCTCACTGAGCCTCGTTCTGCCAGCCGGGCCTTCCCAAGGGACCCTTGCCTTGTGGTCCTCCTGTAGGCCCAGGGAGTCACCTGTGTCACCTCAGTGACAACGGTCTCGCACCCTGTGGCCGGGTGAGGGACTGCAGACACGTCCTTGCTTTGAAAGCTGTCTCCGTGGCCCAGAATGTTCCTGGGAGACGGAATTTTAAGTCACTTAAAGCATGTATTTCTCTCTTTATTGCGGGAGCGAGAACACAGATGTCACCCTTTGAACTAGTTTTGAGTGCACGGGTCCATGGCATTAGACACATTGCCTGTGGCATGAGCCTGCGTCTCCTTCCAGAGGCTCCCTCTCGTCCCCATGGGTGATGTCCTCTTCCTGGGGCACCTCCCCTTCCCTCTTCCTCTCTCTTCTTCCCCCTCCCTCCCCCTCCCCCTCCCCTTCCCCCTGCCGGTCTCCCCCTCTCCTTTTCTCCCCCCTCGGGCCCTCCCCCTTCTCTTTCCCTTTCTCTCATTTTCAGGCTGATGCCCCTACTGGCGGTGGCCTTTGTCTCCCCACACCTGTGACCGCTCCAGGCAGCCAGAGCACTGGGAGAGGCAAGCACATGGTGAAGACAGGGTTCTTTCCTACCCACAGCCCACAGAGGCAGGGTGATCTCTCCTGTTCCTGAAGGGAGGGAAAGGTGCTCCAGATCCAGCTCTGGGGAGGGCAGGGCACAGCAGAGACTCTGCACAGGGACCAGTGCTGGTGGTGGCCCCGAGTGGTGGGAAGCACCCCCTGCTCTCCTAGGGGCGGTTCACACGGGACCTGGCTCTGGTCTGTCTTGGTCTGGGTGCTCCTGGCAAGGCTAGTGTCAGAAAGGGGCAGGCACCAGGCCTTCGAGGTCAAGGCATCATGCGGATGGCCGGTGGGGCCCTGGGCCTGGGTGTGGAGGCTGGTGGCTCCCTGCTGTGCGTGGTGGGCAGGGGCCAATCCCGGGGATGAGTGTGGGGCTGCCCATGTCTAGGTGTTGTACTGCCCTGCCCTCCAGAGCCGCCGAGGGCCAGGGCTCACTGCTTGCTGGCGTGGGAGGCCGTAATTACGTGTTTCTGTCCTGTGGGCCCAGCACAGGATGTGTGGGGAGGGTTGTGGGGCCTGTGAATGGAGAGCTCACAGCAGGAGTGATGCCTCACACCAGCCACTGGTGGCGCCTGGTCAACCAAGGGTGCAGTGGCCCTGGTGGAAGCTGTCCTGCCATGGCCCTGCACCCACCTGCACCCCGTCCGTGGGCTGCACAGGGGAGGCGACACGCAGGCCTGGGAAGATGCACGCACAAGCAGACCCACAGCTGCGTACACACAGAGTGACATACACGTGACCACACATGGGTGTGTACACAGGCACACAACTACAACACAGCCCTACCTTCAAGTCTAAATCGCTTTTAAACACAGCTGCTGCCCAAGTGCACATCCACGCGTGTACTGCACACAGCAACACCGATGCACAGCCTCACAAGCTGTAGCTCTCAACGGACAGCACCGAGCCCCTTTCTGTGAGGCATGTGGGCACCAGGCCCCAGGACGCACGGGAGTCCTGAAAGGCTGACTCTGCCTTTCTTCCCTAGGGGCCACCAAGGACATGGGGAAGATGCTGGGGGGTGATGAGGAGAAGGACCCCGATGCCGCCAAGAAGGAGGAGGAGCGCCAGGAAGCGCTGCGGCAGGCGGAGGAGGAGCGCAAGGCCAAGTATGCCAAGATGGAGGCTGAGCGAGAGGTCATGCGGCAGGGCATCCGCGACAAGGTGGGCACTGGGTGGACGTGGGGCGGGGGCTGCTTCCCTCCTCGGGCCAGCCCAGGTCTCCTCTCCTCTGTGCTCATCTTTGGAGCAATCCCAGGTGCATGTTGCGCATATTGGGGGGTCGGCACTCCCTGCTCCTGCAGTGGAGCTGTCCTGTCTTGGGGTCTTGGGACCCTGACACCGAGGGAGACCCTTTGAGAGGGATGGGCCTGTCCATCAGATGTGTGGCCTGGCCAGGGTTTGCCCCCAAGGCTCAGGGTGTGGGGTCACGCACCCAGGAGGGGGCCAGTTCCTCTGCAGTTTGCAGGTGGGTGGTGACAATCTGGAGGGTAGGGAAGCCATATCTTCTGGGTGCTGCTGCTGGGCCCAGTCACCTGGCATCGTGGACCCCAGCCCGGGTGGGGTGGGCTTTGGACTCTGGAGACAGCCTGGTCCCGTCCCTGGCCAAGTGACTCCTGACTGCAACTCTCGGGTCCAGCCCAGGTAGCCCCGGGCTCAGAATGAGCCTGAGCCTCAGTGGGCAGACTGGACTCAGCAGAGCTGTGACCCATACCACAGCCGTGTGCCCGGCAGCACTGTCCTGATGGCTCAGCCTTCGAGGCCCAGGCCCCCCTGGCCCACACCCTCTAGGTGCCTCCATGCGGCAGGAATAGGGTCTGCACCCTGCTGGAGTGAGGCTGGCGAGGCCCTACCTAGTTCCGCTGCCTCTCCCAGCCCACACAGAGCCCACAAGACCTGAGCACAGATCTGGCACCGACCCAGGACCCAGACCAGCTCCCCCAGCCCCTCACCTCCCTGGCAGGGCACTGTCCTGCGGCCACAGGGCATTGGGTGACATGGTGACTGCTGCCATCACTGCCCTGCTCTCGTGGCCTCAAGTAGACCCCCGCCCCCCATGCTGCAGTTATGAGCTGGCAGCATGGTGTCTTGGGATCCTTGCTGGAGATGTCTCTTGCCTCCTCCACACCCGGACACACCTGCACCCCACAGGGAGCAGACAGTTGCCCCTACAGGGACACCTCTGGGATATCCCCTTGTAGTACATTCCATGCACTTCTGTCCTCAAATGCTCTGGTGGCTTCTTGAACCTGAGGCCCAGGCCCCTCAACCCTGGGAGCCAACCTGCTCCGCCATCTCCATCTGAAGGGTTTACTGCCAGCTGGCTCTGGCCCCAGGCTCCTGCACTCACTCCAGGGTCCTGCAGGCAGGGTGGGCATGGAGGCACCCGTCTCCTAGGGGCGCCAAAGCCAGGGGCTTCCAGCAGAAATTCACGCCCTGGGTTCTGGAGGCCTGGGGCAGCCCTGCTGCGGCTTCCAGCTCCTGGTGGCTTCTGTGGTGGCAGCACCCTCCCAAGTCTGTCTGTTCTGAGTCTGCATGTTCTTTCTGTCTTTTGGAAGATGCTCTCGTTGGATTTAGGGCTCCCTCAAGCCAGAATGAGCTCATCTCCACACTTGCCTTAGTTACATCTACAAATCCCTGTTCCCAAATATGGTCACGCTCAGAGTTCAAGGTGACTGACTGCACCCCCTGCAGAGGGACACTGGAGACAGGCAGGCAGGAGCCCGAGGTAGCAGGAGGAGCCTGGCATCTTGCTGTGTTGCTGAAGCCACACACATCTAAGAAGGACGCAGGGCACGAGACCCTCCAGTGACCATGGCCGCTGCTGAGCCCTCATCCCTGCCAGTCAGAGAGCCTGGCCAGGCCTGAGGTGGAGGACTGGGAAACAGGTCCACCTCGCGGGGAGCCCCGGCCCTGCAGCTACTTCCCTCTACCCAGGGCAGCTCTCAGCTGTCCCCTGCTCTGTGGGGCCCCCCAGCCCCTCAGGGGTGTGACCCCTTCTCCTGGGGTCCTCCTGTGCGAGGGGGGCTGGCTTCCCTTGGGCCTTCCTCTCTGGGTGCCAGCCGCTTGACCTCTCCCCGCAGTATGGCATCAAGAAGAAGGAGGAGCGTGAGGCTGAGGCCCAGGCCGCCATGGAGGCCAACTCAGAGGGCAGCCTGACCCGGCCCAAGAAGGCCATCCCACCCGGCTGCGGAGATGAGCCGGAGGAGGAGGACGAGAGTATCCTGGACACGGTCATCAAGTACCTGCCCGGGCCCCTGCAGGACATGTTCAAGAAGTAACACGGCCTGGACAGCTGGGAGCGAGAGCCCTGCCTGCCCCCTGTACAGACCCTCTCAGAGGCCCCCAGGGACGTCGGGAGCAGCACGGCCCCCACGCCACTATAAGCCATAGTCCTAGGTCCACCCTGCCCGCGCCCCTACTGCACTGGCCCTGCCACCCCCGCCGAGGCCCAGGGCACAGCCCTCTGTGCTGGCTGGCCCCCCCCCCTCGCACCCACCACCCCCACCAGCCCCTCGCCCAGCCTGGGCATGGTCCGTGCATCACGGCACCGCGGGGTTCACACTCAGGAGCACAGCCATAGCGGGGGTGGATGTCTGGGCCGGGAGCAGTGGCGCCTGGTCCACTGCTCACAACCTGGGTTGCTGGGCCTGATAAACCCTGCTTGTCTTCCTGTTGGCTCTACCCACACCCCCCGCCCAGGCCTCACTTTCTGTGTCCCTCCCTCCCTCCTCTGGGAGGCTCCTCAGCCTGTTCCCATCTCAGCCAAGGGAAACAAAGAAACAGGTCTGGCGTTCCCAGACACCTCTGCAGTGCAGACTTGCGACCTGCCGCCCCCTGGCTGTTGTCCCCATCCCGAGGGGCTCCTGCCCTTGCCCAGGGACACCCACACTCCAGTGCTTGGGAGACTTGAGGACACGGGGGCAAGGACAGGCAGGCCGGGGGCTCAGCTGTCCCTGCCGTTCCTCCAAAGTGTGTGCAGCACTTGGGGTGGGGCTGAGGGGCTCCTTGTGCCCAGACCAGCAGATACCAGGGAGATGGCAGAAAGACCCCAGTGCATCCGCCCCACCCTCCCATTCCCTGTTTGCCTCCCCCATGTTTAATTTGCATCACAATATGTTGAATCTCAGGTAAATGAGGTCTTTGGTATTTGATGAGTTTTACCTTGACAGAAAGGCTGTTGCCTCGCACCCCCTGGCCCTTTCTGTCCACATCAAAACTGCATTCAGTGTCCACGGGTGGCAGGCCGGGGCCGTGGCATGACACTGACCTTCATGACCTTACATAGCTCTTAGAGAAGCCATATCAATTAGACTGCAATACTAACCGCGGACACCCCTCCGTCCAAAGAGGCGAAGCATGCCCGGCGCCCGCGCCCTGCTCGCCCCTGCCATCCTCTGCTCCTCCTGGGTCCACGTCTTTTTAAAATGCTTGTTTCCACATGTTGAAAGGCCAGCTCCGAGCAGCCTGGGCGTTCTCTTGTGTCAACCCCAAATCCCGTGGCCAGTGCATGGGTGCCCAGGGCCGCCGAGCTTAGCTAGATTGTGTCACTGTCTGTCTGTCCTTGCACCTGGCCTCCTCCTGCATGTCGGGGGCCCTTGTGTGTGGTCTCTCTGGATGGAATCACAGCTAATAAACAGTGATTTCACACCCTGTGTCTGTCCACCAAGTCCCCACTCCTGCTGGATGATGCCTTCCTGCCCCATCAGGTAGAAGGCACTTCCTCTTTCGGGGACAATTGCTGGGCGTCCCCAAGGTCCTGACACATCCTCTGAGGGCAAGCCTCAGCGTCATCCCTGTCTGGAAGGTTTGTAAGGCTGCTTGTACTTCAAGGCCTGGGACAGCCCCAGGCAGTCAGACCTGGGGGGTCCTGGGCTCTATCCTTACACTGCTGGGTCCTCCCTAGCCCTGAGGGTCCCTCTCCTCGGCAGCTCTGGGTACCACATTCTTCAGGGCTAGGCCTGAGACCAGATGACAACAGAAGCCCCACCTGCTTCCCCTCTGGGGGTCATGCCCATGCCCAGTCCACTGATGCTCAGCCTTATCCTGAGGTCTGTGGCCGCCGGGATCTCCAGACAGACCTTGACGTACCTCTTGGGGGCTCTCTCCAGTGCGACACATGTCTGGTGTCCAGTGACCCTCCAGCAAGTTCAGTCCGGTCTCAGCAGGCAGGCAGTCACACGTCCCCCACGCTTGCTGAGGTCCTCCTGGGTACAGGAGGCTCCTTGGAGCAAATGCTCTTTCCCAGCACAGAACAGTGCCTCCCATACCTGCCCCCTGCCTTGTGGGGAGCGGGGGCACTGCTGAACCATTCAGGGGGCAGCTGCCCACAAAAGGAGCACAGCTGTCCTTCCATTCTGTATCCCCATGTCAGTATGGTCTGGACAGCGTCTCTGTGGCTTTGGGTGCTGAATGTGGGCGACAGACGGCTGCTCACAGAGGAAGGCCCAGAGTTCACCACCTTTAGCCTCCACTCCCCGACACCTGTCCCCATCCCAGAGCCCTGTCTAGATCTTTCCTGATCCTGTGCAGTGACCTGGATGTGCTAGGTTAGCTGGGACCTTGGCAGCCAGTCCTACAGCAACTGATGGTCGCATCCTGCCTCCGGGATCTGGGGTCTGAGGCCTCCAAGGAGACATTGGAGCCAGGCCCTGGGATGATCAAGGTCCCTTCTCCTGCACCCGATCTCTCCAGTGATGAAAGACAAGATAAATTTGTACTGTCAGATGCAGTGGCCTCCACTTTGGAGGAAGATGGCCAGCAACGCTGAGGGCTGCTGCTTGGTGGTGTGGGAACCCCAAGCGGGGGAGGTGATTTGCAGGGGAAGATACATTCGGGGCGGGGATGCGGGGGCTGCTGTGTCGCTCACCTGGCCACCTCTCCCACCCAGGGCCTCGCGACTGGCATCGCACTTGGCAAAGGGATGTCTCCCAGTCCTGGAAGTACCCTGGCCCCGAGCGGGGAGCCTCTCCCGGCAGAGCCACCCACCCAGCCATCCGGGCCCCGGAGGCACGCTAAAAGGCGCGGCAATTAAGGACCATTTTGTCCAGATCTGCTAATCCGCAGCGAGACAAACCCTGCTGTCCCCGCAGAGCCAGCGGGGCCGGAACCCTGGGTCTGGGCCACCTGTCCACACCATCTGGTCGCCAGCAGGCCTGGCACCGGGAAGGTGCGCCGGGGACGCAGGGGGCTCAAAGCCCTACCGCTCAGTGCCTCCGGTGCCTACGCCGGCGTAACTCGTCCCTCCCTCCCTACCGAGTGGGCCTTCGCTATTGGCTCTGAGGTCACGACAAAAGTGCGCTCGGCCAATCAGAGCCAGAAATATGTCATTGCCGGAGGAGCCCGCCCCGCCCCTCTTCTGTGGCCGCCTGGCAACGGACTCGGATGCCGACCCGGATTCTCACGCCGAAGCATCGCTTGGCCCCGCCCCTCTTCTCTGGCCCACCGCCTTTGGCCCCGCCCTACCCACACCCACCTCTGACCATGCCCCTTCAGTACCACCCTCCACCCTGGCCACTCCGTCGAGCCCCATATGGCCCCGCCCCTCCCTGGCCACGGCCCTTCTCAATCCCCGCCTGTCTCGCTGCCCCACCTCCAAGGCTCTGCACCGCCCCGCCCTCCCTCCTCTTCTCCCGCTCCTCCCCCGGGCCCCGCCCTCCTCGCCGGGCCCTGCCCTCTCAGGCTGGCCCCATCCTCGGGCAAACCCATTTCTGCGCAGCTACATCGGCCCCCAGCCCTCCCAGCGGAGACTTTGCCCCGATTCAGCCCGGTGCCTGTGCTGCCCCGGGATGACACAGCCGGAGCCAGGGCGGCCTTTCTCCCAGTGCGTTTCACTCCTCCAGGATGGAGTGGAGAGGACAGGAAAGCCGCACAGGGTCCTTGCAGGTCCAGCCATTGAGGTGCTTGGCTGGGGGAGCCAAGCGGGCTGTGGTGGGACCACGGTGCCCAGTCCTCCGCCTTTCACCCTTGGGTGGGCTCAGGCAAAGGCTGCCTCCTGTAACTCCACCTGCTGCCCTGGGGGCAGGGACGGGGGCGGGGGACACGCTGGGGACCACTCCAGGGCTGGCCCTGGGCAGCGGGGAGACTGTGCGGGGCCTCTGGCTCCGTGGGGTCTGTGCTTCCCTACAACCGAGCATGGGTCCGCGTTCCAGCCTGAAGGGTGCCAGGCGCTGAGAAGGCAGGGGTGAAGCAGACCGGTCAGGAGCCCTCACACTGTGGTCAAGCTCACGGAAGACTCTCAGCCGGAGTGCTGAACTGTCCCTCACCACTGGCCCTGGGTGCCAGAGGCTGGGGGCGCATCCCTGCACCTAGACCCAGGGCCTGGTCGTGTCTGGGAAGGTTTGCACCTCAGAGGATGGGCATCAGAGCTGAAATTCAGTAAGTACTCATGGAATAAGACTATTTCTTGCACCCTTCAGTGATTCCACTGAGATTCATGCTGTACAGAGAGCAGGAGGCTTTGCCTGAGGAAATCCAGAGCTCTGGTCAGCTGAGGCTGGGACTGGACAGGAGTGGGCCTGGCAGAAATGACTGGGGGTCTGCTGCCCCTGGCAGGAAGCAGACGGGGCATGGGGGTGGGCAGATGGTCATGCATTGCTGGTAGAGCTGCAGGTGGGCACTGCCCTCTGCTTTGCTGCACCAGTAGCCTTTGGTGCCTCCTTGAGCTCTCCCAAAGGACAGTCACCAAGACCTGATCTCTCAAAGCATTCCTGGGTTTCGGGGTCCCTTTCTCTGACGCAGTCTCTGTCCATGTATGTCCTCAGGCAGGGCTCAAGAGGGTGGGGCACATCCTGTGGCACTTCCTGGGCCCCCTCTGCTCCCCTCTCCTCCCTCAGCATAGCAGGGCCAGGAATAGTTGCAGCAGCTTAATGGGACTCCAGGCAAAACATCAGAAATAAAGTTAAGTAATCAAAATTCACCAACCTGGAGAACTCCATCGAGGCCTGGGGCAGGGAGCAAGGAAATATTATAAAACAAGCAAAACAAACCTGTCACGGGCAGTCAAAGCTCCATGAGACAGCTGAGAGCTCTGGGTGGTCGAGGCTGAGATGGAGCATAACCCAGATGGAGGTGTTATGGTTTATTTCTGGATGTCCCCCCAAGGCCTGTTGTGCTCAAAGGTGGCCCTGTGGAAGATGATTGGGTTATGGGGCATTGCAGCTGGTTGGGAGTTGAGGCCTAGTCAGAGGAGCAGGGGCATGGGGTGTGCCCTGGAAGGGTGCATCTCCTCCCTGGCTACTCCCTTTACCCTCTGCTTCCTGTCCCTATTCCCCGAGCAGCTCTCCACCACTAGATCCTTGTCCCACCTGGGGGCCAGCTGACTGTGGACCGAAATAAACATCTCTTCCTTTTAGTTGTGGGTATCAGGTATTTTGTCCCTAAAATAGGAAACTAAGACAGGGAAGAAACTGGATGGTGCACACAGACGCGAATCCTGAGTCAGTACATGAGCTGGGAGTCTCCACCACAGGAGACTGCACACAGCTCATGTGATGCTCTGTCCTTGAGGCGGCTGCACAGGGTGCACAGCACGGAAGGGGAAGGGAGACTTCACAGTGGAGCCACCTGCAAACACACCTCGGGTGACCCAAGTGACCATCACCAGTGACATGTTGCATGACAAGCTGTACAGATCTACTGTGCTGCATGGAAAAGGGCATAGAGCTTCTGTGGTCTTCCTCTCAGAAGCCATCACCTCCATCGTCAGAAAAGCATCAGACCAGCCCGTGTGTGATGTCTGCAAATTACCTGGCCACTGCTCCTCAAAGCTACCAAGGTCACCCAAACAAAGGAAGCCTGAGAAGCTCACAGCCAGGGCAGCCCAAGCAATGTGACAGGTAAATGTCATGTGGTGTCCTGGGCAAGATCCTGAGACAGAACACTAAGAGAATATGAAGAGAATGCACTGTGGTTACAGCAGCATGTCTGTGTGGACTCACTCACCGACAGTGAGGCACTGATACCAAGGAGCTAGTCAGGGTCCAGAAGCTCTCTGTACGACTTTCCTTGTCAATTCTCTAAATCCACAACTGTTCTGAAATTAAGTCTCTTTAAAAAAAAAAAAATTCAACTCCCTGCCTCATAGGCTCCCGGAAGGAGGGCACAGGGAGCCACAGGCGGGGAGGGCCGGTCTTCCGGCTGGCTAGCTTCCTACCTCGTAGGCCCCCGGAGGGAGGGCCCCTGGCGGGAGGGCCCCCGGCGCATGGGGAGCCATGCGGCGGCAAGTGCTGTTGCGCACCGGCCCTTAGGCCAACCGCCACCGCTCAATTGAGATCTATCATGACACAGAGAAACAGTGACACAATTGGTCCACCATGCACCGACTGCAGTTGCCCACCCACAGACGTGTGTGAATCATTCAAACTTTGAACAACCCCTGGGAATACATGCCATACAATGGGCCACTCTTGCTCCTGCCATTGAGAACCGGAAAGGTCCAGAGCCAGCAGAGGAGCAGCTGCTGAACAAGGACTCAGAGAACATGAGAATGCAGACGAAGCCCACAGAGTCAGAGGTCCTGTGGACTGGGGTCACGAGAGCCGCTCGGAAGCTGTAAACCAGGAGGACCTTGCACAATACCTGGGGAGACTCCCTGGAAGCCATTCTTCCCCTGACAGTACAGGCTGTGGTGGAGCTCCGGAGAAGTCTGCAGCAG